AAACTCCCAGAGCTTGTAAATGGTGAAGCTAGGATTCAGATCCAAGCAATCTGGTTCTAATATACAGGTGTTAAAGCACTATTTAAAGCTTCCTTCCATAGATGTACTTAGTAATATTTACGATTTCATATGAAAATTTCTATGGGATTAAAGATAAGAGTAAAGGACATCTGTAAATGTCCATCTCCTTATTACAATAAAGTGAATTAAAAGATATGTTATCTATCATATGTGTAATGTTTCCAGAGTTAGTTTTTTTAAAAGAGGTTTTTTGCCTTAGGGCACATGCGTTCGCTGGAGAGAGATGGAGACAGTGAGAGAGAAAGTGAGAAATCATCCCCTAGAAGGATGGCCACACCACAATCCCCTATCATTCATTCTCCTCTTGGGATCTTAAGAATGCACACATAAGTGCCTGGTGTGATTTTCAAGCCACTGGGTCTTGGACTTGAACTGTGGTCAGCCATATGGGAGTCCAGCAGATGCAACCACTAGGCCATCTGCTGACCCCAGGGCTAATCTTTCAGTTAATCTTTAGACTGGGTCACTAAAAGAAGTCAGGAAAAAAAATTTTATGCCAACATAAATATTTCCTTTAGGATGCTTCACAATCAAAATAAACCATGATTGTAAACACAGGAAAAATAGGCCCCCCTTAATTATAAAATAAAATACTTCATGGGTCCATCCCAAGGCCTGGTGGTTACATGAGCTTGATCTCACATGGCCAAGTGTGAGGTTCAAGTCCTTAGACTTGGTGGCTTGAAAAACATGCTGGGGGGACCAACAAATGGCTTAATAGTTATGTTGCTGGACTCCCACATAGTTGACTACAGTTCAAGTCCCGGACCTGGCAGCTTAAAACTCACATCAGGTGCGTGTGCGTGCATGCCCAAAATCCTGAGAGAAGAATGGAGGAAAGGATTGTGGTGTGGCCATCCCCCCTGGGGGTGATTTCTTGCTTTCTGTCTCTCTGTCTCTACATGCCCTATAGCAAAAATCTCTCACAAAAAAAAAAAAAAAAGAGAAAGAAAAGGAAAACCATGCTGGGAACGTATGATTGTTAGTGTAAAATCCCAAAAGGAGGAAGAAATGAATGAGAAGGGATTGTAGAATGTCCATTCCCCACAGAGAGGGGTATGCTCTCTAACCTCATCTCTGGCTCCATGAGTGCACATTCCCTAATGCCCATTAAAAATAAATTAAAAAACTTCACTCTGTAGATAGCATGGACTCCAATGATCAGTATGTGTGAACAGGCATCAGAGGTAAGGTTTAGAACCTTCAGTTCCCTATTGGCAGAGATGCTGCCAAAGCCTCCACTTCACAATCCAAGATACTAGAGACGAAAGCCAGAATGTACTTAGCAGAATCAGAACCTCATCCTGCAGATAGAATCTGTAATACTAGGGACTCACATCTTGAGAAAAAAACTCCTATTACTTGAGAGAGCAGAGAAGAGCCCCTACCCATAGAATTCCAATAATGCTACTGAAGTACATGCTTCAATTTTCAGTATCTATGACTGCAGAGTTTCAGTGGTGGTAGTAAAGTTCCCACTTCCTTTTCTGGGTCTTGGAAATATAGATGTTTGGGGCATCCTGACATTGAAACACATTTTCCCATATACCTGTGGTATATACAGTGATTCCACTCTGAATGTGGTCACAGAATTTCAGAACCAAGAAGAATCATGTATTCTGGTTCGATGTACTCACATTACAGATGAAGAAACCATAGCTCAGAGACTTAAAATGACTGGGAAAGCAATACACAGCTTGTCTCTTGATTCTTGGTCTAATGTTTGTGTCTACTCTTTTACTGCCTGCTTTGGCTACAAGTGTAAACTGTACTGAGAACCATTATTTCTACATTGGTGTAATGAAGTGCTTTTAAAGTTTACATATTCTGACTTACTAATAAACATGTGGAATCTAACATGTTGATAAACCAGGAAATAGCCATTATTCCTCCTCCTTAATACTATACCTAAAGAACTCCTAAAAGCATTTTTAAGATTATTGGTATCTTTTCAGTATTCTTTCTCAGTCAGTTCACTCAAACTTATCCCTCTTACTTTCTGGAACTGACATTCTTGCATAGTTGTGTTCTCTGTAGAGAACAGAAAGCCCCATTTATAGTTACTGTGTCCTCCTGTCACTGTTATCTAGTGAATTCCAGAATGTGATAAGAAATATGAAATGGCAGCCCCCAGTTCAAGTAAAAATCACTTGCAAATATGGAAACCCCAAAATTTAACAAACACCTCCCTACTTCATTGAGGATATCATCTTAGGATTCTTACATTCATTAGAATCTATTTTCTTGTAAAAGGAAAGGCAGGGCAGTGCGAAGATGCTGGGGGCATGAAGTAGAAAGCAGCAATAGAATCAAGGGCAGGGTGAGGGACTTGTAAGA